TGCGACACGGCCATCAGGGGCTCTGACAGCCCACGCCACGTGCGCCCCGGAGGAGGGCTCTAGGCCTGTGCCGGCCACTGGCCACTGGGCTGTGGGCAGCCTCTGTCCCCTCCCCACCCCTACAGCCCCGGCAGCCTCAGGTCCTGCGTTATGTGTCTGCCTGTGTCCCCACAGGCCTGCCCTGCCCACTGGTGCCCACTGCCCCGGCAGAAGCAGCAAGGCCAGGCCCTCCCAGGGGGCCGGGGGCCTCTTTGTTCCTCCCAGGAGTCCGTGGGGTCAGTGGGCAGGGTGGACGCTCAGAGGCCGCTCCTGCCGCCTGGTGACGCATCCAACTCGATGCAGGGGCCTGGGGCCGGCCTGGCTGTGGGTCCCTCTGTGGGGAGTCATGCCCTTCCCACACGTGAACATCCTGGCACGTGGCCTGGGCACACCTGGACACCGTCGTGCCCCCGGTGCCCCTGGGCCCTCAGCTCCTCCCCAGTTCGTCCCCTCAGGGCCGGTTTTGTTCCATTTGACCCTGGCACGGCCTCTGCGTCCTGTGGCTTCTCCTGGCTCCCAGGCCCACAGCAGGAAGCCACGAGCTCGGCACAGCCTGCACCGCCCCCGGCCTCCAGGAGGCCTCACCGCAGTCCGGGGTGGAGGCTGTGGCAGGTGCTGGGCAGGGCTTGCCTGTGCCTGACCTGGGGACCTGGTCTGGACCCGCCGCCGCCCCGGGGCTTGTGGGAGAGCTCCGCGGGAGGCAGCAGGACACGTGTGGTCATGGGGTCCTCACACGGGCCCAGGGTGGGCCTGTGGGTCTCAGTTTCGGGGGAAGATGCTGCTCCCAGGGGAGACGCAGAGGCTGCTGTGCTGGCCACGCCCACCTCCAGCAGCTGGGGGAGCTGTGAGGCCGGGGCTGGGGTCTTGCAGGGGCTCGGTTCTAGGGGCCGTGAGGGCAGCAGCATGTGCAGGGTGGGCGCTGGTGGGCTGTGTCCAGCCCAGGTGTCCTCACTGGGCAGGGCCGTTCCCTGGTGTCCACAGCAAATGGGCTTGGCTGGCAAGAGCAGGGCCTGTGGGATGCTGCCCGCCACCGTCCGATGGCTGCCAGCAGGCCTGGGTTTTGAGCCCTGCGTGACCTCTGAGGGTCCCCTTGTCCCCACGGGCTGGAGGCCGGGGCTGTCCCTCCCCTCCTCCCTCCCACGCTCTGTTCTCCCCCACTCTGGGGAACGGGTGACCCCTCCCCAAAGTCGGCCTCAGGTCAGTGGAGCGCAGTTTCCGGGAGGACAGACCGACGGGCTGTCACAGGCGGGGGCTTGGGGTGCCCAGGCCAAGCTGCCAGGTGACCCAGAGGCCAGGCCCCACCCCGGGCCCCCACCCAGCCTGCAGGGGAACAGGTGCACCTGCTGCCATTCCTGACCCTGACGATGGCGATGCGACAGGGAGAGGGCAGAGCTCCCAGGACGTGGCTGCAGGGTGCTGTGCACACACGGGAAGGGGCTGTGTACATCAAGAGTGGAGGCTGTGCACACACAGGAAGGGCGGCTGTGCACACACAGGAAGTGGTGGTTTTGCACACACAGGAAGTGGTGGCTGTGCACACACAGGAAGGGGCTGTGCACACACAGGAAGTGGCTCCAGTGCACACACAGGAAGTGGTTTTGCACACACACAGGAAGTGGCTCCAGTGCACACACAGGAAGGAGCTGTGCACACACAGGAATGGGTGGTTTTGCACACACACAGGAAGGGGCCGGCGAGGCAGCTGCATGGGCTGTGCTGCATTTCGGTGCTCGCGGTTGAGAGCCGACGCAGAGCTGGGCACCGCGGGGCCCCGGGTTCCCCACCTGCGGTGCCTGCGGGGCTGTGGTGCTGCCGCGTTTGCAGGCCCTTGCCGCAGTGTGGGGCCGTGTTCTGGGTCAGTCTGTGTCCAGCCTCTCGGACATGGCGACGATGGCCGTGTCGCCTGCGGAAGCGCCGGGTCTCCTGTCCCTGCTGCAGCTGCAGCTGCGCCGCCGCCTCCCCTCGCAGGGAGCCCCTCCCACTTCCAGGAGCAGCCGGTGCCCGTGCCTGCATCGGTGCCACTGAGCGTGGCTGCGTGGCCGTGTGGCTGGTCCCCTTCAGTTGTTTGACTTCCTGCTCCCAAGGGCCTTGCAGAGGCCGGCAGTGCCAGGGCGTGGGGGCCGCCGTCCGAGGGTTGCCATGGGCTGGAGTGGGCGGAGCGTCCAGGTGCAGGGGCAGATCCCGGCACAAGGAGGTGTGGTGTGGGGGAGGGGCGAGGGGGTGCAGGCTGAGTCCCTGCCCGGGACCTGTCGGCGGCAGCCGTCGCTCACGGTGACGCCGCCAGTGGGTACTTGGGGTCCCGGGGGCCCCGGAGCCTGGGTTGGGTTCTGGCTGGGCCTGTCTTGGCTGTCTCGCTCTCCCTTCTTGGCGAGGGTCCCCAGTGGACGACAGCGAGGTCCTCCTACCCGTTCACCCCGCGCCCATCCACACTCAACACGCACACGCTCACCCCCATGCAGCACGCGCTGTCACATGCACACTCACACATCACACACCCTCGGGGGGGCCTGCAGGTGTGATGGCCAGGCCTGGACAGCTGGCCCCACGGACGGGGCACTGCAGCGGGCCACACCCTGACCCAGAAGGATCCCTTTGGTGCCCCCGGCCACAGCCACGGCCAAGGCTGCAGACGGCCAGACAGGGCCCTGCTCACGCAGCCCTAGCACGAGACCCAGCAAGGACCCCCGGGCCCCAGCAGTCCAGGGCCAGGGCCGGCAAGAGCTCCTGGCACTTCCTGTGCCAAGTGTACCAGGTCACCGAGGCTGGTGCACGGTGGGCAGGGGCCTGACGTGGCTGTCCTAGCTCACCCCTGTGGCCAAGGGGAGCTGAGCTTTGAGCCGATGCCCCGGCTGACCCCGGCCCCTCCCAGTGGCCTCTGCTTTCTCAGGGCCTGGGGGCTGCCCCCTGCCCCTCATTTTCTCTGAACAGCCTTTGCACACTTAATTAAGTGACCCCTCACCCACCCTGGAACCAGGAGACCCCAACCGCTCGGATGCAAAATGGAGTTGGGTTTTTTCTGGAGGCTGTGGGCAATCACTTAACCCCTGGACCACAGGGCTGGGAGGCCGGGGTCCCCAGGCCCCCGCGCGCAGAGCCGCCCCACTCAGCGGGGAGCAGCACCGCTCCCCTGCACTGTGAACCAGGAATTAAAGCTGCCCTGGACGTCCCTGCCGCCCGGGGGCATTGCGGAAGTGGGACCAGAGCGGGACAGAAAACGGCTGTCTTTGAGAGCCCCTCGGTGGATGTGCCCGGGACGGGGACCCCCACGGTGGGCGACCCCACGGCGGGCTGGGGCAGGACCTGCTGTGTGCAGCCTGACTTTGGTTGGGCGGCAACGGCTCAGGCGGAAGCCCCTCGCCGTGGCACCGTGCACAGCCCGCAGGCACCCCCCACCCTGGGCTGCTCTGTTAAAACCCCAGCAGCCCCGGGGGTCTCTGGGTTGCAGGGAGCCACGCGGCAGTTCCGTGTCTGGTTTCTGCAGAGACCCCCGGGCGGCCAGTGAAAGCGTGAAGCCCACTGAGATAGCGAGGGGACCCCACGGCGCTCCCCCTGCGCTCGGTCACACCCGGGGACCACGCTCCGTAGCTTTAGCACAGAGCTGCCCGGGGCCCTGGACCCGCCACTCGAGGGTCACTTTGGCCGCAGCGGAAGGAGGGACTCGGGCGGGATGACCCCTGTCGGGGGTCAGCAGTCACCCAGGCAGGAGCCAGCCGTGGGGTCCGGCTCTGGCCGAGCTCTCCATGTCCTGCCCCCGCCCCCACCCTGCGTTCTCTGATGGAGGCAGCGCTCACCTGAGTTCAGTCAGCGTTTGAAAGCCAGCAGTGCAGGGGCGTAAACACCGCCCCCCCTCGTCCCCAGAGGAGACCCCGCACCTGGCGCTGGCCTCCCCCGGGCCCCCGCCCGCCCCGCCACCTCCCGGCTGCTGGTGAGGACCCTCACCGTGACGCTCCTCTGTGTGATGTTTTCAGACATTTTTAATCGGAAGTCATTGTGTGTGTTTGTGGGGAGCGGAGTGGCGTGACCACACGGTCACCGTGGCCTCGGAGGCCAGGGAGGGCTGGGGCCGGGCAGACATGGGTGACCGGCCCAGAGCCGGGGTCTGACGGGAGGGACCTGCTGCTGACATTCGCAGCAATTCATGGAGACGCCCCAAGTGCCCGGGGCGTTGTCAGAGTGCGGACACACCCCCACGTCCCTGCCGCCCGGCGCTGCGGCCACCTGGGCCTGGTGGTTCTGCCTGGTGGTCAGTGCTGCCGGGAGTCCCTGCATCCAGTGCTTCGGGCAGACGCTGCCCCTGCTTCCTGGCCGGCTCCTGCCCGTGCCCCGGCCCCCTCCCTCCCCTGCCGCATCCTGCCCGGGGCCCATCTGCCTGGGGAACGGGCCAGGTGGCGCTACCAGGCCAGTTCCAGCCAGACAGGCTGGCCAGCCTTTCCCCAGTGCTCGGTCCCCTCCCTGCGAGTCCCGTGCCCTTGACCTCAGGGGCCATGAGGTCGTGGGGAACTTCCAGGAACCGCCCCCTGGGCCCAGCAGCCCCGGCGGGATGTCCAGGGCAGCCCGCATGTCAGGACAGCAGCCCTCGGCAAATGCCCGTTAGCCCAAGTTCTGCCTCCTCCCAGGGCTACAGAGGCGAGCCGGGGGCGGGGGGTGCAGGGCCAAAGCCCCCAGCAGCCCTGGTCGGTGTGGCCTGGACGTGGGCGGTGCGGGCAGCTCCCTCCGGGTCCTCCTGCCGCAGGAGCCCCAGGCCCGAGCTCAGGCGGCCGCAGGGCCCTGGGGAGGGTGGGAGTGGCCGGGGGCGACTGACTGCCGCTCCTGCTGGGAGCTCGGCCTCGCGGGGCTGCTGAGGGCGACCGCCGTTGGGGGTGGCAGCTTGGCTGGGCACCTGCTGGGCCTCGCGTGCCCTCCTTCCACTGTGTGGGGGGGGGTGCCGCCGAGGCTGACGCTGCCCTGTCTCCCTCAGGTGACGGCGACGTTGTAAATAATATGTACGAGCCTGACCCGGAGCTGCTGGCCGGCCAGAGCGCCGAGGACGAGACGGAAGACAGCATCATGTCCCCCATCCCCGTGGGGCCGCCGTCGCCCTTCCCCACGAGCGAGGACTTCACCCCCAAGGAGGGCTCGCCCTACGAGGCGCCCGTCTACATCCCGGAGGACATCCCAGTGCCGCCTGACTTTGAGCTGCGCGAGTCGTCCATCCCGGGCGCCGGCCTGGGCATCTGGGCCAAGAAGAGGATGGAGGTCGGGGAGCGGTTCGGGCCGTACACGGTGGCGCCCCCGGCGGTGCTGAAGGAGGCCGGCTTCGGATGGGAGGTGAGCGGCGAGCGCGACCAGAGTGATTGATCGTCTGTGTATACAGCGGGCGGGTGGCCGCTGCCCGGGGCGGGGGCTCCGTCGCGAGGGCTCCGTGGGGACAGCATTGGAATGTCACATTTCCCAGGGTTATTTTATCCTGTGGCTCGGAGGGCGCGACAGGCTCGGCGGAGGCTGGGCGGACATGTGTCCGTCATGAGCGCCGTGCTGCTTGCCCCACCCCCCCAAGCATGGCCTCACCCCACCCCCCGCCCAGCGTTGCACCTGCTGGCCGCACCTGCCAGGGAGGGACCTCGCTCGGGGCCCTGGCCAGGAGAGAGGTTGCCTTTGGGGCTCTCGAGGGGGTCTCGGCGGTTCCCTCTTTGGCCTGCCCCCTGCGCCAGCCCACGCAGCCAGCTCCCGTGGCGTGTGGTGCGGGGACCTGCTGGCAATGAGGATACAAAGCTGGATTCCCTGGGCGTCTCCCAGCCGCCTGGGAGGGGCCGCAGTCCTGGGGGTGCTGTCCGTGGGGCAGGCCCCACCCTGGCCCTGCCGCGTCTCTCAGCAGTCAGTGCTTTGGTTCGGAGCAGAGAGGGCTGGGGTCTCCACCCCTGCAGGCGGGCAGGGGGGCGGTGGTCCATGCTAGCACACGGGGTCCCGTGCAGCTGTCGTCCTGGGCGTTCAGGGGGCCTGAGTGCCGGGACTCGGAGTCCAGCTGGGAGGTCGGTTGACCAGCTGGACAGAGAATAGGGCCAGCTGGACTTCATGGTGATGGGGCATGTCCCCTGCTGCCTGGAGGTGGCAGGCCAGTGTGTGTGGGACACGGGGACTCAGGGGCAGGTCACCCTCAGGACGGGCTGGCCGCGGGCCAGGGCCCAGGGCCCAGGCCAGGCAGGAGGTGGAGAGAGCTGGGCGTGGAGCCCCTGACGGTGGAGGAGTGGACCCAGCCGTGGCCACGCTTGTCTGCCCGGTGCGTGCAGAGGAGCGGGTGGGCGTTGGCGTGACGGGCAGCGCGCGGCTGGACTGTGTAGGTGGTCGGCGGCTGCCGCAGGCTGGGGGGAGCGTGGGGGGGCTGCTGCCGACGACCTTGGGCTGCCTTTGCTCTCTGTTTGCCTTTCTCTTTCCCTTAAAGAAACAGCGCGTCGCGTATCTGCGCAGCCCCCTCCGTGCCAGGCCTGGCCGGGCCACACCTGTTGACTCTGTGGTCTGACTTCCCGTCGGCGTGTGTGCGTGCACCGCCCGCGGTCCTGACCTCTCAGCCACCTCTCCGCCTCCGTCCCACGTCCTCCTGGGCGCTATCTCGTCGCCCAGTTTTCTTGGCAGAAGGGGCGGGAGTGGCTCTTTGTGTCCTGGTGCTGGGGCGGGGGCCGGGGGCAATGGCGGGATCCGTGGCGGGGGGGGGGGGGGGGGAGGAGCTGGGAGGGAGCAGGTGGCCTGGAGACTTCGGCCCTGCTTGGCCAGGAGTCAGTGGCTCGGGAGGGGGCCTCTGTCCAGCTCCACAGACTTCAGTGGGGGCCTTTCGGGGCAATGGTGACCGCCTCCCCAGGGATTTCTGTGATCTGAAGCCACGCCTGCCGTTCCCATGTCTTCTCCCCTTTCCCGAGCAGGGCAGGAGACCCTCTCGGGGCCTTGCCCCAGGCCGGCCGGTGCACTGCAGGCCCAGCCAGGATGCGGGAGGGAGAATCCAGGCCCCGCTGCCCAGTCTCTGCCACTCCAGACACTCGAGGGGCCTCCCACAGCCACCCCGGCCCCTGCTGAAGACCAGGAGGGTCTGACCGGCTGGCCGCTCCCATCCGGGCCTCTGCGTGTGCAGGTGTGTGGCTGCAGGGGAAGCAGGTCAGGCTAGGACCAGCCAGGGCGGATCCCAGGGGCAGCTCAGCCCAAGTGTGCACTCACGGCTGTCCCGTATGTCCCGTGTGTCCCGTGTGTCCCATGTGTCTCCTGTGTCCCGTGTGTCATGTGTGTCCCCTGTGTTCTGTGTGTCCCATGTATCTCCTGTGTCCCATGTGTCCCACGTGTCATGTGTGTCCCCGGTGTCCCGTGTGTCCCATGTGTCATGTGTGCCCCATGTGTCCCATGTGTCCTGTGTGTCCCCTGTGTTCCGTGTGTCTCCTGTGTCCCGTGAGCCCATGTGTCATGTGTGTCCATTGTGTCCCGTGTGTTCCGTGTGTCCCGTGTGTCACTGTGGCCTCTCGGGCTGGCAGTGTGAGTCGGGTTCAATTTTACCGCACTGCACACAGCCTGCGTTTCCTGGGAAGGAACAGACCGTACACTGGGCAAATCCGGGGAGGATCTGCCGTCGGCTGTGCCGCTCCTGGGGGTCGGGTCACCTCCACAGAGAGCGACAGGAGCAGGACCTGACACACGTGGGCTCCGTGCCGCTCCTGAGGTCGCGTGGACGCGGCCGTCCTCCTGCTCTGCAAGGTCTGGCCCAGGACCGCGCAGCTGGGATGCGGTGCAGGCTCCAGGCCCGGCCAGCGCGTGGGGCCGGGGACGCTCTGCCCAGGGGGCCCTCTTCCCCTCCAGGGGCCCTACAGACGAGGGAGCGAGGGGCATCGGGCACAGAGGCCGAGGGGTCTGGGTTCACGGTCCTTGCTGCACAGGGCTGGGCGGGCAGCTGAGCCTCCCCTGCGGTGCCCACTCCCACGCGCGGCCCCCAGGCGTCTGCTCCTCCGTCTCTGCGGGGGGCTCCAAGAAGTGTTCCCTCACCATTCTGGATGGGGCACGCCCGTGTCAGAGGCCCAGAGCTGGCTGTGCACCCCCACCTTCTGTCTGGAGGAGCTGGGCTCAGCCTCCACCACCCCGTCCATCCCCCCTGCAGGGAGTCAGCCCCCCGTGCTGGGATCAGTCCCCCCCGGGCCCCCCCCCGTGCTGGGATGAGTCCCCCCTGGGGCCCCCCTGTGCTGGGATGAGTCCCCCCCCCGTGGAGCCCCCCCCGTGCTGGGATGAGTCCTCCCCTGGGGCCCCCCGTACTGGGATCAGTCCCCCCCGGGCCCCCCCCCCCCGTGCTGGGATGAGTCCCCCCCGTGGAGCCCCCCCGTGCTGGGATGAGTCCCCCCCGTGGAGCCCCCCTGTGCTGGGATCAGTCCCCCCATGCTGGGATGAGTCACCCCTGGGCCCCCCCCCGTACTGGGATGAGTCCCCCCCCATGGAGCCCCCCCTCCATGCTGGGATGAGTCCCCCCCCCGTGCTGGGATGAGTCCCCCCTGGGGCCCCCCCGTGCTGGGATGAGTCCCCCCTGGGGCCCCCCTGTGCTGGGATGAGTCCCCCTTGGGCCCCCCCTCCGTACTGGGATGAGTCCCCCCCGTGGAGCCCCCCCGTGCTGGGATGAGTCCCCCCTGGGGCCCCCCCGTGCTGGGATGAGTCCCCCTTGGGCCCCCCCTCCGTGCTGGGATGAGTCCTCCCCTGGGGCCCCCCCGTGCTGGGATGAGTCCCCCCCCCCGTGCTGGGATGAGTCCCCCCACCGTGGAGCCCCCCTGTGCTGGGATCAGCCCCCCCATACCTCCCCCTGCAGGGAATGTCCCTGCCCCCCTCCCATGATTGCGTTTTGTTGCCTGGGGTCAGAGGAAACAATGATTTGATCATTTTAGTAGATCAGGACATTTGTCACTGTGCTATTTATTTTGCTAATTAAGAGGAGGTGACAGTGGGGGAGGCAGAGCTGGGAGCTGCTGCCTGGGAGGCCCCTGCCTAGGTCCCAGGTCCGCCAGGCTGGGGGCCCGGCCGGGCTCCTGGCTGCAGGCTTCCCGCTGACACCAAGGTCCCAGCTGCAGTCCCTGTCCTCTGTTGGGTCCTCCAGAAAGCCCCTCCTGGTGCTCTTGCGATGAGTCGGAGTCTGTCTCTGAGAAGTGATGGGAATTCGGTTATCTGCAGAATTTGTTCAAATGGCCTCGTATATTCAGTCAACAAACCTGACCGGCACTGGAGACGCTCTGGGGAGTTGGGGAGGGGGAGTTGCCGGGGGCTGCTGGGGTCTCTAGTGCTACGATCCTGTGGCCCCCCAAGCCTGGCCTCCCAGGTGCAGAGGGCCTGGGGGCATCGTGGGCACCTGCAGCCCCACACTCAGGTCCTGGGGAACCCCTGTGAATTTAATGCAAATTCTCACCCAACTCCGGCCTTGGGGAAGGAGACCTGGGAGCACACGCCGGGAGTCTGTTCTTGTCCCGCGTGGCAGGAGGACCATGGAGCCAGGAGCCCGCAGGGGTGGCCGAGGGCTGGGACTCCTGGCTCCAGCTGAGAGGAGTCTGGAGGGCCGGCTACTCTGCTGCGGGCCCAGGGCTGAGGCTGCCCGGGTCCGGGGGAGGCGGGCAGGGGCCAGCTCCAGGCCACGGCAGGGAGCGGGGCGTACTTCCCTCTCTCTCCTCGGACCCCGTGCGCTCCCACACGCCAGCCTCATGCACACACCTGCACACACATGGGCTCTCACACATGCACACCGACGTGTGCACACACGGGCTCCGGGACACTAGCGTGCACACCCTCCCGCTGCGAATGCCGCACACACAGCTCTGCCGTCACTTTTCTCCTGCCTGGCCCCTGCAGCTGAGCGCCGGGCGGGGGCCCTGGGCCTCCTCACCTGAGGTTTGAGCCTTTTCATGGCGGGGGAGGGTGGGGGGAGGAGCAGCCGCTGGGCAGGGGCTGGGCAGGGGCTGGAGCTGGGGGCGGGAGCCCGGGTGGTGTCACACTGGGGCCACGCTGCTCCTGGTCCCTGCCCGATGCCGGAGATGAAACCTGGGCCCCCGGAGCGCCCGTGGCCTGCCTGCTGCCGGGGGCTTTACTCACGGCGAGGAGCCTGGGTGGCACCTGCCCGGCTCTCTGCCCGGCTCTCCTAGGGACGGAAGCGCCCTGGACGGCCACGCGTGGACGGCCCTCAGTGGACGCTCCAGCCCCAGGGTGGTGCCCCAGGAGGGTCCTGAGCTGGGTCAGGCCCTGGGCTCCGGGGAGTGCAGGGCCCCCACCCCCACCCGGCCGCCCAGGACGTCAGCCAGGCGAGCGCGGAACCAGACCTCAGGCTTGTCCCCAGGCTGCCTGGCAGGCACGGTGACATCAGGTCCGGGCGTTCGCAGCCCAGGAATGCCAT